TACACAGGCTGGCTTCTGTACATGTATGTAATTCACATAAATCTTTCCGGAATGCCAGAAGACCTTTTGGGTCACAGCGTTACATGCACACACGGGCAGGGAAAAGTACAACCGCGAGCCAGCCATAATCGTTCGAACATATTTTTGTTTGTATTGCACATGCACCATGCATGCCGCTGAGCATATTTGCACTAATGCACTGGTGAGTTACACATGGTACTCTGTGTACACACGTACATGTCCAGCGGCTCTTCCAGAATTTATACGCTTAGCCCCCTCCCCCAAGTTATCTGCCCTTGTGATATTTCAAGTCATTAAATTGTCCATGTCAAAATTATTTACCCTCCACAAGTACTTTGGTCTAATCGCATTGGAGGTCAATGTCTAATTTGCTGAAAGCACCAGCTGCCGTGATACATGTACTGGGCAAACCTGCCTTCTTTGAACATGTGAAGACATGTTTGTTTGGGGGAATTATGAATGGCCGGGGATGGCTCATGCGTAGTGATGCATGTGAACGTACGGTATGGTACATGTACATGTACGTGTGGTCTGAGGTTTTGCTTATTCTCTCCCACTCTCGTTCTGTCTTTGCCTTGTTTGCGATGGATTTGGCACGCTGCCAGGGGTCGCTTTTTGGGCCGGCTTGTTAGGGAAGGCTTTTTACCGCATTCATTAGGGATGATCTTGACATGGGCTACCACGGTGGCCGCGTGCCGTTATGACACCGTGTTGTGTCAGTGAAGTGGATGAGCGTGGTGTATACTATCACAAGCGGCTTGGCGGGTCTCTTGCGGTCAGAGAGATCTTTGGAAAAGCTTAATACATGTCCCGTGTACATGTAAATTCAATTTTCCAACATATAATGTAATTTGCAGATGCGGTTCAGAGCACGTGAATGAGTAGGCAGGCAGGCAGGAATTTTCAGTTTTCACTTTGTGACTCTGTTGCACAAAGTAGTTAAGTGTTTAAATCTGAAAGACTATGAAAATGAACCAAAGGGAAAAAAAGCACAAAGATGGGGAGAGCAATGCCCTGTAGTTTCATGCACTGGCAGATATTTGTTCTACAATTTTCTGAATAGATAACTTACATGTACCTGAAAAAGCCATGTCACCATGACAACTTGTAGACAGGAAGTTTGAATTTGAATTGCAGATGTTTTCGAACAGTACATGTACATCATCAAATAGTGGGAAAATTTTATATATTTTTTTCTATGTGCGTTTTGCTTAGTTGGTCATCAGGTATGAATGGATTCTCAGAAGAATACCTGCTGATTTGTTTGTACATGTACCGGTATGTACCAGGTTGTACATGTAGCTTCACTTTTCATTGTGTGTGGTTGGTAAATTCCGACTCATAACTAAAGGAATTGGAAATCTTACTAATGCCGAGACATGTACAGTACATTTATTAAAGGAAAATCTTTCATGAATCTTAAGTGGGTCAATCGTTACTCCTTTCTGCTGTTTTGTAGATGACATTATGGATCGCTTGCAATTAAAGATGATACCTCACAATATCTTACTTACCAGTACGTATTGCAGCAAAATGAGGTTAGTTTTGCTCAGTTGATGGAAATCTGTGAAGTTAGGGGAAAAGAGAATAAAGGATTGTACGGTTGATTTTTTACACCCCGGAAAACTCGGTGGAAAAAGAAAAATCCCCAATAAAAAGCAAAGGCTGTAATGTTCAATCTTTTGTTAGAAATTACATGTACATGTATAAGTGATGCCAATAGTTTGTTGTCGACAATATTGTATCCCCCATAGTGTCAGTAGAAATTATAATATCCCCCATCTCTAGATGAAGTGGACAACTTTGTTCTACAAAGGGTTTGTTTGTGATGTATCCACAGATCCCCTCAAGTCGCTTGTTTTTAAAAAACTCTACCAGATCAACCCTGACCCCTGCATGTAGACATTTCATGTGCTTTGCATGTACCAGTATGTAAACTACGTGTATGCAAAGCACATTGGTCTGAATAGGCTCTCGCGAAGCACCATCATGGCAGAAGGCATTCAGTGCCTCATCTTGTCAGTTGAAGTGCACCAACTGTGCCAGGTGACACTCTGCATTTGTGGAGGCTTGTTTTGGCCAAATCACTCCACAGTCCCGAGTGTCATGGCAATACTTGACCTCTACATGCCGTGTGTATTTTGTAGACCAGCTTACACATTCTTAGTTGTACAATACCTGCATAATTTTTTTTTTCACGGGAATGTCAGTTTGAAGGTTAGTGATCCCGTTTGTTGATTGAAAATCCAGATTGAATATTTCTGTTCCTTCAGTCTCTGTGAATGTATGTTTGAATAGCTTTCCATGCTACCAGTGCCAGACTGTGTTGGCACTTTTGTCACCAGGTGAAAGCCACATCTGCCCCTCCATTCATGTGGTGTTGTGATAGTAACTGTTTATCAGCACAATCCCCCATGACCTGCTTAGGTCACTGGTGTGACCCTGTCAGGTCACAGAGTGGCAGAGCAGAGAAGAGAGAGGACACCTTACCCTTGAACATGGTTGGGATTTAGCTGTCCCCCTAGGCTCAGTGTATGTTCATGTACAGGTGCATACAGGTACATGTACATACAGGTTAATTTTTCCATAACTCTTGGCAATTTGGTGTTATATTTAACACCACTGATGCATTGGTTCCCTAAACTTGCAATAGGCAAGTTTCCCCTCAAGTGTGCAAAAGAAGAGTTTTTTTACATCTTTTTCCCACACTTCCAGTGGTTCAAATAGATGGTATTAAAATGGAAAATTGAAATGCATGTACATGTATTTATGAACCATGCTGATACTAGTCCTGCCGAATTTTTGTAATGGACGTGTAAATATATTTCATTCAGGCCAGGATGCCAACCAGTCTTTCCTCCGACTTAATGAGTTTCCTCTTTCCTAAAAGAGTGCTCAATTTACTCTTTCAACCAAAATTTGAGTGTCAGGGAAAAAAAGTGTTTTAATCACCGGCGGGCCACAGCGTTTCCCTAATTTGGGATAATCTGAACTGTTTTCAGTTTGTCTGCACTGTACACATGCAAAACCCATACTTAGGTGAGAGGCCCTTTAACTATAAAAATGGCATGAGCCTTGGCTACAAGTCTTCTTTTCCAATGAAAACAGTGCTTTGTCTCTCCAATGTACACAGCAATGTCGTGACATACATGTAGCGGTATAGTGTGTAATGCACTAACAGTGCTACGTGCAGCTCTGTTACTGTGTTTCATTGATGATACACTATACATGTACTTGTACATACATGTACATTGTACATGTCAGGAGTACACGCAGTGGTTAATGTGAGCTGTACTGTATGTAACTGTCCTTACCCTCTGGCCACCTGGGTAATCCCACAGGTTTGTGTTGAACCACAAACCACAAGCTGTAGTTGATAGCCATCGCCTCTGTGGTGGCCCTGGGGGTTATTTATCAATGAGGGGTTTCTCACTGCCCACAGCAGCTAAACTGTGAAGAGTGCCATATATCTGACATGGATTCCCTCAACCTGTCAAATTGCCAGGCTGGGACAAGTGAGTGTGTTTTTATTTGTCCCAGAATGCCAACACAGATGTAAATGTAGTGGAAACATACTCTGTAGACTGTAGTGGTACTGACAGGTTACTGTAGCATGCCCTGGTATTGTACATGTATAAAAAAAAATGTGTACACATGCTCATCTGCTGCATACTTGGTTTCATTCAAATTACACATGTGCGTACACATGTATACTATATTCAAACTTATACAGAGCCCTGTCCTTACAACCAGAACAAGCAGTGCTGTTTTGACAAGTGTCTGCAAATGTGTTTAGAAATATTGAAATTGAAAAAGGGAATTATGCACAGAATCATAGTTTGGAGTAAGTTAACATCAGATTTTGTCTTGTTTTTTTTAAGTTTAGGAAAAATATACAAAGTTGTTGTATATCTGTAAGATATCCTTAGAATAATTGGAAAGTTGTCTTCAGATGTTGGGCTGAGGTAATTACTCCTGGGTATTCGTAAACTTTAAATTCGTGTATAATTCACAAGCACAAACCTCACTTATCCTTGAGTTTCATCCTAATTGAATAAATTCATTTGAATCAACTGAGATACACGTATTAAAATTGTAATTGGTGTGAGGAATATTAAATTAAAATGTAGAGGAATAAAGACTGTAATATCCGCACTAACATTTTTAGCAGCTGCTGCACTGAATTGTGCTTGTAGATGTATGTGAAATTAATTTTCAGCACTTGCAATTGAACCAGAGCTATAATTGATACATGTGCTTACAGGTACAGTACATTATGACATGTGCATTGTTACATTGTACATTGTTCTGTAAAAATCATTTCCCGCTTTTTCCACTGGTGTGAATATCTGAATGAAAATTTTTTCATGTTTTGTGAAATAAAAATGAATACCCTGTGAAGAGAAAGGTGTGAGAGTTTCCCATTCGCAGGTAAACTTCTAACGAGCCAGTTTGGTATTCCAACAGTGCATGCTGCCATGCTCAGTACGAGGTTATTCGGGAACAGCTACATGTACGTGTGATCATGATAGTTTGACCTACATGTACAAACAGCACATCCATATGCTGGCTCATGCATGTGCTTTGTTCCCGAAAGACCCTGGCTTTTGAAATACCGAACTGGTTCAATTGCAGTACATGTACTCTACATGTACATGTATACCAGATATTTCAACAACAACAAAAAAAAGGATAGTACGCATGAATATCCATAAATGCATGCTTTTAAATGATTTACATGTATGAACTGCTTTGGGCTGAGTACCATGTCTGCTTGGGCAGAATTTCAAGGGAAATTTTTTTCATAAACTGTGTTTATCCACTCTTTTGAGTATACATGTACATGTGGGTGCATATTGTTGACCAACCTATGCAACCTGTCTTTCCATAGTGTGTACACGTAACAAGATGCTTCAACTTTCTTGATAGAAAAACCAGTGCGTTAATTTGGTCTTTGCCATGGCATGAAAAATTGGCTGTCAAGCATGGGCAACACTTGCAGCAGTGTTGAGCTCCTGCAATGCCATATACCGATACGTAGGTGGGGAATAAGTGGATGCATGTACATGTACTAAGTTGCTCGTGCCATGGCGACCGTGAACTTTCAGCACTTGTTCAAAGTGCACCCAGGGCAGGTTTTGGCCAGTTGCTGAATCCTTTGCAGTATTGACACTGATAAAAAGACAGGGCTCCCCCTCTGTCAGTCACTCTTGTTGCATTTCCAAACTTTGGCTCAAGTCCTGAGCAGCCGGCAAGAAAATATTGTATTTGGCACTGCATGAAAAAGTATGTGGTTCGCAAAACAATGTGTGCTTTGCTAAAGATTGGGCTATTGTTTGAAACGTGCCAGCTGGAGCCCTTAAGCGACATGGGAAGGGGCACGAATATGCTGGCAGTTGCTGGAGAAGAAGCAGGTGGTATTTCTGCGTCGAACTCTCCTCCCCCCCATGCCATCCAGACTGCAGGTGTGGTCATGCGCAGATGATTTTAGATTTACAGTATTCCTTTATTTACTTCTTCACGTTCATCACCTACATGGCTCTGCTGATTTGGTTTTTTTTTTTGGTTTCCTCTATCAAGAACCTTTTTTTGGGGGGGGAAAATAATTAGGTATCAATTTGCTTTTGCAACGTACTGTTACTTTATGTACATGGAATGTACAGAAAAAAGTGTGCCGGTAAGTTGTTTACGCGTTTTGTGCAGAACAGATGTTTAACCCTAACCCCCTAGGCTCTTGCACTAGAAAGCATACTGAACCTCACCAAATCCAACAGGTTCATGTACTTGTCTATGTACTTGTACATGCAGGTTACTGTACCAAACCTGATAAACTCCAACAGAATGAGCCCGTTGGAGTTTGAGTGATATGGTATGGATGGGTCTATGCAGTATAGGATGACTTGCACTGAACAGTACCAAACCTGATAAAATCAAGCATAGTCCAACAATTGGTACAGCAAGCCAGACCCTGCACACAGTGACCAGTGTGTGTCCCAACTCACACAGAATCCAACACCATCTCCCTGGGCCTTTCATCCCAAGTCTCACAAAATTCAACTAAGAAGTTCCTCAGGTACGGTACCAAACCTGCCAAAACCTCACAAAACCTGCTGTTGGAGTATGGCAGGTTGGGGGAGTTAGGGTTAACATTACTACTTCCAACTGCAAATGCAATAAGGGCATGTAATTATCATGATCTTGAATAAAACTCTTCTCTCTCTAAGCGGGGACAGTGCATCTCTTTTTTCTTTTTTTTAACCCTCCTATGCTGAAGTCACTCTTTGGGTCACTTGGTAAACACCTCAAAGAAGCGCAGCTGTGTCGTGTTGTGCACTACACCAACAGTCCCTCACAGGAATATCAGATTGCACTTTTGTGCTGCCCAACAACTGTGCCTCACTGTTTCATGTGCATCATTGTGCAGTAAACCAAATGCAGTGAAGAGGACTGCACAAAAGATCCTGGGTCATTTTGTGCTGGCAACCAACTGTGTCCACACTGAACCTGTGCATGTTTGTGTTCCATATAGAAAACACATGCAAGAGAGTGACTGTTGGAACTTGTGCATATTTGTGCTGTAAAACCAAAGGACGGTAAAGGGAGGAAAAAATTTTTTCTGGGGGGAGGTGAAGGGTCAGAGAGGTGGCCGTCTTCAATACTTCCACTAAAACAAGGTACACAGGAAACTCCCCCCTGGAGACTCGGTGGTCCCTCCTCGGATGTAAAACCCCCATTATGAGATGCTCACAGCTTGTACAGACAGATTTAATGTCACAGATACGTGTAGATACAGATAGGCACAGGCTTGACTCACTCGTTTGACGACCACCTTCTTGTCGGAGGCTGTATCCTGTACCAGGTACACGTCCCCAAAAGATCCGCGCCCCAGGAAGAGGAGCTTGATGTACTGGTCTCCCTCCAGGTACTGATGATTCATTGGCTTCAACTCCTGCCAAAGGCGAGAAAAAAAATTGAAAAGACAACTCGGAAATTGTGTACCGCTCCGATAAAATCAAGAATAAGTATAAACACTGGATCAAACATCTTCAATTCTTCGCTTAATAAAAATAAAACTCAGGAGTCAGGATTCCGATCTTGCTGAGCAAAAATCGGAGAGAGCCAGTCACAAGCGATAAGCATCAGAAACCGACTAGAAATGTTAAGTTACCCGGTCAAGAAGTACGCCTTCATGTTGTCCTTGCAACTCGGCTGCATCTGTGAGCTTCAGCTGTCCAAATCGTTCGGCCAAGACAATCAAGCTCCGTGGCTCTCCGTGACTGACCCCTGGTGGAATTTCCACTTCTGGAGGGACACCGGCGGGTGGTGGACCATCCCCTGCTGCTGTCCCCCGGGGTACTGGAGCCTCAGCCAAGGGAGAAGCCTCAGCTCCTTGGCCGACCTCCATTCGGGAGGCCGGGCGTGCTGCCCGGGGTGGCCCACACAGGATGCCCTTGAGGACCACCCCGTGCTTTGCCTGGGCCCCGTTGTCCAAGTACAATCTCCTGACGGCCTGCTGGTTGTGCGAATTATGGGGCAGTGCCGACCTGCCTGGAGACGAGGTGAGGGACAGGTGGGCCGTGAGAGCCTGGTGCCTCGCACGCCCAGCATCTCCCGCTGGTCCCTCTTTGTGCTCGTCCCTTCTGCTGCAAAGGTCCAGGCCTCGCATCTTCTTTTCCAGCTCCTGCTGGCGTAGCAACTCCGGACCAGAAACAATCTTTGGCCCTCGTGGCACCTTCTTGGGCTTTGCTCCAGTTGCCTCCCACTTGACTTCCTCTGCTGATGGGGACCGAGATTCCTTCTTTCCCTTCCGTCCTTTTTTTCGTGCCGGGCGGTCGCAATCCAGTCTGGTCTTAAGCGGGTCAGATGGGCGGGGCTTTTTCTTATCGTCATCATCGTCCTTATCACCATTTCCCCCGGTCATCCTCAAAGCACAACCAGTGTAGTTGACAACCTGTCCCGTCTCTGCAGCCTAACACACCCGGAGAAGAAGAAAGATCCATTACTTTACTCAAAGCGCAAAACTACTATTGCAACATCCAAAGATTTTCTTCATTCAAAAAAATTCATTATTTAAAAAGGAGATCATTCCCTACTTTTCCTTGTCCGCCGATGTTTTGGTTTGGCGGTGCACTGGTCTCAACTTCACCCTTTTCACCAGTGACTCTCCTTGGCTTGAACGACTGGCTCTGAACATCACAAGCCTCTGAGCAATGAATATATGAATATATGAATATTAAGTATGACTGTTCGTGAAAAGACAGGGCTTCTCCTCATAGACAAATTTGCTTTTTTTGAAAACTCGCAGCAGAGAACTATCTGCAGAAAAACCAGAAGAGACCAGCTGAACGAAACTTTCTATGTAAACTTTGTTCAATTGATTTTTTTTTTACAGTGAAGATTGGTAGTCAGTCATTACTGTCAATCACCAAATCTTCCGTTGTGCTGTGCCATGAAAAATAAATACTCATCTTTTTTTATGTTTTCAAATATGATTTACATATGATGTAAATAAGCCCTACAGAAAGCCCAAAAACTACAACGAAAAGTCACAGGCTATCTCTGACTTCACTTACCTCTCAGAGATGACTCGTTTAAGTCTGCTGCCTCATTTTCGCCTCCTTGTCTGCCAGCCGCGGGATTACTGTCCAATTGTGAGACCTCTCCATCTGCAGCATCGGTTTCTGGCTCCTCTTCGATCACTCCGTTATAATCTTCTGGCTCTGCCCCTACGCTCTCAAAGTCCAGATGGCCAGCCTTGCCACTTCCCGGACCTCGTGCCTTCAAACTAGCCTCCCTCTCCCCAACGTCGTTCTCATCTGGCACGCCGTCTCCTGCTTCCTCTGCCTCATTTTCCCCCTCCTTGTCAGCTGATTCCTGCATTCCCGTGTGAAACTCCGCATCACCGGACTCCTTCACAGTTTTCTCTGGCCTCAGGTCCTTCATGCCCTTCTCTTTGGGATCTTCTTTCCACCTGACGGCATCTTCGTCCTCACCTGAACGCTCCCCGTCCTCGGCAGCATCAGCTATTTTGTTTTCTTCGAGACCAGCATTGTTCAACTTTACCGTCTCTGAGTCGTTTGGCCCCTTCTCTTGCCTAGTCTCTTGGGTGGCATCCCCTTTTTCTCCACGCTCCAGCTTCAACTTCTCCTCTTCCACTTGGTCCACGCCTGCTGCCTTCTCTGAAGCACCTCTGCGATCGTCTCCACATTTTGGCAGATTCTGCATACGGATCTCATCTTCCCTTTTGCATGTATCGGCCTCCTCAACACGTGTACAATTTTGGTTGTTCAGGCCTCTGTAGACAGTGTCTAGGAATGCCTTCCTTTCCCTTTTTGAGGTATGGTGATCCCAAACGCAATCCCCGCTGGGCCAAAACACTACATAAGAAAGAGAGAAAAAAAACAGAAAGTTGTCTCTTTGGGTGTGGGGGCTGCATGTGACAGTTCACACTTTTCCAAAGCTTTTTAAACTGTTTCCCCAGTTTGCTGTTTGCAGGTTTTTTAAAATTGATACCAATTACAAATTGCTTCAAGGGAAATTATATTTATAACTTACACGTTAACCCTAACCTTCCCCAACCACACAGAATTAAACAGCAGTAAAGTGTTGAATTCTGTGGGGATAGGTCTGGTAGGCCCAGACAGCTGGCTTTTGCATTGAGTTTGGCATACCTCAGAAAAACAAAGTCCTACAGCCTCTGTGCAGCACAAAGTCCCACATGGGTGTTTAACTTTGTGTGAATGGGGAAGGTTAGGGCTAGCAACCCTCGGGGGTTAGGGTTAACCCCAGAGTTAACAGGAGGTCGTGTGACATATAAGAGTCCCAAAGTAAATACTCAATTCGTTTGTATTTCACTTTCCGGTCCAATACCCTGGAAGTGCCTGTGGGTCTGCATACCCGAAACAGTATTTCATTCAACAATCAGTCAAAATTTCAAAGAAACCACGTTCCAAGCTGTGCGGCAACGTATGTGACCCACTCAGTGAAAATGAGTCTTAAGTCGCCAGAGCCACTTTTTGAGTTTTTATTTGTATTGGAAAGAGCAAATTGAGTTTTTCGTTTGGATGTATCGCTCAGTTTGGCATCCTGACAAAAGTGGATACTCCATGGTGAAAATTGCTGTGGGTTCCTATTGATATACACCGTGCAAAATTATTCTAAAGGCCTTTTGCCTCCAAAGTGGCTCTGGCAACTTAGACTCATTTTCACAGAGTGAGTCACACGTACGGAAGACAGTATCTGATGCTGGTTTTCCTACATCAGGTTTTCGTTTGTTTTTTCAGCACTTTTTTTTTTCAATTCCTATTTTTTTTAGTACACTGTACAAGCACTCACCTATTTTGTGCACACATTTCTTGCACCCACAGATGGACTTCTGTTGGAGTGCATTGAGATAATCCTTAAGAGTCTTGACCTTGAAAAGGGGCGAGTGGTGTTCAGCATGTGGACCACCCAGTTTCTGACTTGCGCCGCCAATGTCTGACACCTGACACGGAACAGTCCCCCCATCTCTGAGCATCACGGAGGAAGGGAAAACAAAAAAAACGAATCACCTCTATTCGAACCAATCTTACACGGCGCATGGAGAATCAACCCTCGATCAGGATGACAAGTACAGGCCAATTCACTTTCCATACAGAATCAAACTGTCCCGCGACAATACCGATGTTTCGCAATAGGGCGCCTCCAAGAGTTTGCAAAGCATTTTCAAATCACAATATGTGAAATCTGTTGACCCAATGCACGTTTGGACAGGGTTGACAGATTTCGCATGTTGTGATTGGCCATCGCCTTGTAAACTTGTGGGGGCACACTTTTGTGAATAACACTTACTGGACAAGCCAAACTGAAGTGGAGGTGAGATTTGAAGCTTTTCAGGTGGAGGTAAAACGTAAACAGGTTTGCGGTAACACCATGAATATATCTCCTTTTTTTGAGTATGTGGGATTCTGAAAAGAATCCGTGGTACTCAACGTTTCAGACAGCATGCTCCGTCCGTCGTAAGGAGACTGCACAGGGTCCAATGGTGAGGCAGCTTATATGGTGTGTAGAGGGCAGTGAGTTGTGGCGAGGATGCTAACTCACGATCCAGCTGGTGGCTTGGGGGCGTTAAGGATATTTCCAGCCCGTGGGTCCCCTACACCTTTGGCTACCTTCTCCCACACTCCCCTCCCTCAGACTGACATGCCTCATTGGTTTGACAGTACCCCAGTGACTTCAGTTGGATCTGGAGTTAGCATTCTCTTCACACCTCAACACCCCCAAGCCTCCTGCTGGTCCTGAGTTAGCATCCTCTTCACACCTCACTGCTCTCTACACACCATATAAGCTGCCTCACCATCAGAGCATGCTGTCTGAAACGTTGAGTACCACCGATTCTTTTCAGAATCCCACATACTCAAAAGAAGAGACATATCCATGGTGCTACCCCAAACCTATCTGGTTTACTTGAAGTGCAGTTGTTGGCATTGCTATTCACATAACTTGTGACATGTCACATATTCTACATCTAGAGAAAGCCCATTTTTTGTGCCACAGAATTTCAGATCATTGCTGAAAATGCCACCACGACACTCATGCCAATTGCCTCACTTGACTTACTGAAGACAGAAGTCCAGCTACTCTTAGATTTTAAATCAGGGAAGCAAGTGGGGTACTGTAGAAACCGGGTCACAAACATTGAAATATTTCTATAAAAAAGGAGCAAATTTCAAACCGTACAAGCTTTTGTACAGTGGTTTTTCAAAGGATAAGTTGAGCCGATCCAAGGAGAAAAATCCATGTCTGATTCACAATATTTGTAATGTGTACAGTGACTGCATGGTGGTGCATGACTTCAGACAATTAAAACTGCCAGGTGTAAATGACACAGGCAACAAGGGGGAAATGACAGTGACACAGTCAATGGAACCACAAAAACTGGGAATTCCCAGCCCTCTTCTGGTACTGTACATGTACGTGGGGCTACCAACCACAGCGCTGTGGTTACATGTACACGCACATGTACCGTATGTAGTGTGTTTGTGCAAGCAATTACATGTAAGGCCTACTGTCCATTTCACACTATAAATTTAAAATGCCACTTACATGTAACAATAAGACAACCTACCCGTGTGCAGGGATTTTAAGAGGGCACTCTTGGCTTAACCCTTGCCCTCTTCAATCCTCCAAAATCCGTTTGATGAGTTTGGAGGATTTTGGAGGATTGAGGATGAATGGCAAAAATGTACGGCTGATTGTGAACGATGACATGTGAAGGTCGTTGGTTGGACCTTACATAGTTTATGCTCAGTCATGCAACATCAGCCCAACATTACTTTGAAATCAACCGCACTGCTCAAGAAAGCCATTTGCCGTGCCTCAACACACTGGCAGGAATTGCTGGAGGATTTTGAAGGACTGAGGAGCAGGGTGTGTCTCAATTTGAGCATACGTGGAAATGATTACACGATTTCAGAGGACTGAAGATAAACACAGTTTTTATGACCAGGGCTACTGGGGGATTGAAAATGTGCCATAGCAAAAAAACTCTGGTGGGTTACGGTTAATAAGGTTTTTTTATTTCATCTTATTTGCATCTGGCGAGCACTCAAAATTGAGTAGGTGCCACTTCAAAGAAAAAACAAAAACAAAAAAACCCCAGGTTATACATGTTTCCGAGGATATCATAAAAAAGCGCCCCTCATTATCCCCATTCGAAATGAAAATGTAAAGGCACAATGTAGGTTTTGTTATTTGACACTGTTCCATCAGCATTCAAACTACATGCTGCATGAAAACGCAGCTCCATTTCAAGATCAACACACTGCCATTTCCTGGTTCTGCATGTGAGAACCTCTTCACTTTTTTTAAGTTTGGATACCAGCCAAGCCAGAGGTCAAGAGGTCACCAGCAGCCTTCTTCACCCCCCCAGTCCGGAATGAGTAATCGTCACGAGGGTAGATACCCCCCCATTATGCCCATCCTCCCTCCAATTGTGCAAAAACGCCATAGTTCTATTTGGTACTAGTTATGCTCACTGCACATGTATTGTATAAGTACCTTTCTACACTGGAACGTAAACAGAATACCACTTCGCAAGCTCTCGGACAAGCACTGAATATACAGTGTTTATTAATATATACATTGGGTAAGGGCAAAACCTGTTAGATAAATTCACTGTGTTGTTGTTTACATTAGTTGTACGATTCTTTTTTAATTGATATTCTCATTCCTTTGTTTCCATCCTACAATATATTATTATTATTACTATTTATGCAGTAAACCAACTCTTTACGGATTTCAAACTTTGCTCCATGATTTTTTAGCCACACCTTTTTTTGGGGGGAGGGATATTTTTGTAATTTGAGGAACATTTTTGCCAACCACTTAGACTTGGAGATGTGACAAATACTGTATGTTGCTGGGGAAAGACTATGCCGGGTGATAGACTTGGAGATGTGCCAAATACTTTATGTTGCTAGGGAAAGACTATGCCGGTGATAGACTTGGAGATGTGCCAAATACTTTATGTTGCTGGGGCCGGGGAAAGACTATGCCAGGTGATAGACTTGGAGATGTGCCAAATACTGTATGTTGCTGGGGAAAGACTATGCCGGGTGATACACTTGGAGATGTGCCAAATACTGTATGTTGCTGGGGAAAGACTATGCCAGGTGATAGACTTGGAGATGTGCCAAATACTTTATGTTGCTGGGGAAAGACTATGCCAGGTGATAGACTTGGAGATGTGCCAAATACTTTATGTTGCTGGGGAAAGACTATGCCAGGTGAGCAAATATGAAAGTTGTACATATACATGAACTGGCACAGATCCCAGGCCCTGTCACCATTCCACCAAATAAAAAAAAAGGCAAGTCTCATGTTGAACCCCATCCTCACAACAGGTAGCCTGTCGGGATTCTGGGTCAGGAAATTGAACTTTATTGAACAAGTTTTAACAGAAGAAGTATTGGGGGAGGGGTTCTTATGGCTCTTTGTCAGCAGTCCTATTTTATACTCTAAGCATTTTTTTCTCCTGATTTCAGGGTTTTTTTTTTTAGTATTTTTTTCAAGGACTTATTATCTTCTTCAACTCACAACAATCCACAACTACCAGTACATGTACGTACATGTACCCGTCCATATACCCAGAGCAGTTTGCTGCAGAGAATCAAATCACAATGCATTTCTAGTCTAGGATTTGTAGGTCATCCTGCCATGGTAAACCACACTGTCATCTGTTAAACCACACCACCAGGGAGAAGACCCCTTTGGAATTTTCAACCACCAACTTTTCTTACATTGTGGTGGGGGTGGCTCTCACATCGGATGTGAACCATTTCCAATGCCTGGTCTGCTTCAAAAGAAAACAACTGTGCTGGGTAAAAACCAGCTGAAAATCGGCAACTGTGAGCAACTCACTTTGGATGATTTTTGTTTTCCACAACCCACGTTTTGCCAGGCAAATGTTTTGTGTATTCAGCAAATGGCTGTGCATAAACCAAAACTATTACTCTGCACAAATGCTTTGAAGTGTACAGCAAACGCTCAATTTTCATCATACAGACGCACAACGTACAGCACGCAAAACCATCACAGACAACAACTGTTTTCTTGTCTCCTGGTTTGTGGCAACCTGTTTTTGAATGGGTACCAAGTCGGACAGACAAAAAAAAAAAAAAATCATCAAATTACTGGAAGCACTGCATGTATCTCCAACTCCCAGTTTGCTTGTTTTCAATTTAATAAATATAAAAAGAAACAAAATAAAACAAATCTGCAATCAGAAAATACATGTTTTAAATCACATAGCGCTGCCAGATACGACATAAGTAAATCTTAATCACCGCGACTACACTGGGCATTTTGATTGAGAAGGTATAACAGTATGTTGTGACAGCCCCAAGTGTGGCATTCCTTGATATTGGCAAGATGCCAACCAATTTTATTGGCAAGATGCCAACCAGTTTTATTGGCATGATGCCCACCAGTTCTTTTTTTTAAAGATGGGAGAAAAACCTGCGCTCACCCCCCCCCCACACACACACACTTTGAGTGGCCAGGCCTTGAACTCAGAGAGGTCAGCAAAACCTCTGCCCGATTACACAATCTTTTTTCTCAGATTTTACAATATCTCATCTTCCACCGGCCCAAAGGATCCCATCACTCCCAACTGGCAAGGTGCCAACCTGGCTGCTAGTGGCTGGACCAGTGGCAGGGGAAAAAACTGTTTTCATATTGTGTACAAGTGTATTGTCTGTTTTCTGTACTGGGTTTATGAAAACTGTGTTTTGCAACTGCAGACCAAACAGGAAGTCCTGTTCTTACCATGTAACAATGTCTGTGTTAACATTTTTGTTTATTCAGGTATGAAGTTCTCTCAAGATTTACTCTTCTGCCCGTCGCATCCCTTTTCTCATTTTCATTATTTATACACTAAATAGAATTCTAATAAGAATTTCCTAGTTTGTTTGCTTATGTTTTGTCGACATAACTGGGGGCAAGGGGGAATTTCCCATGAGACTTGTTT